AGCCGTGGGGGCGGCGGGCCGTGCGGCCGGCGGAGTCGCCCGGCCTTAGGCGGGCACAGGGCAGCGCTCGGTGCCCCGCAGCCCCTGCTGTGCCTCCCGGTGCTGATCGGTCGTGGGCCTCGTCAAGCTGTTTTTTCCCTTTTTTCCTTCCCCGAAGCAAAAGAAGTAACATTTCTAGCTTGGGGTTTTTTTTTTTTTTCTTTTTTTGCCCATATAGAAGAACTGATGGGAAACAGCCCGTCTGGAGTTCACCTTAAGTCTATCTTCGGCCACATCCCCACCCAAAAGTATGCTGGAAGCTTGAAGAGTTTATTTTGATAGCGTCTCTGTTGTTTGAGGTTGTGGGTCAGGCTTACTACAAGATCTGACCACTTACTTCCTTAACTTTTTGTTTGGGATGGCCATTTAGGAGCGTCGTGGCTTAAGCCCAGCCAGTAACAGAGGACCACGCAGCTGCTCCCTCACTCCGCCCCCCTCCCTCCCCGCTCCGGGCCCAGGTGGGGTGAGGAAAAAATACAAAGAAAAGCTCGTGGGTCGAGACAAGGACAGGAGGAATCACTCACCACTTATGGTCGAGGGCAAAAGACAGGCTCAGCTTGGGGAAGAAACAAAATCAATTTAACTTACTACAAACCAAATCAAAACAAGGATATTAGAATGTAAACCCAAACCTTAGAACACCATACCCCCACCCCTCCCTTCTTCCTGGGCTCAGCTCCACTCCCAGTTCTCTCTTCCTCCTCCCCCCAGCAGCGCAGGGGGTCGGCGAATGGGGGTTGGGATCAGTTCATCACACCTTGTCTCTGCCGCTCCTTCCTCCTCAGGAGGAGGACTCCTCATTCTTCCCCTGCTCCAGCGTGGGGTCCCTCCCACAGGAGACAGTTCCTCCACGAACTACTCCGATGTTGAGTCCTTCCTATGGGCTGCAGTTCTCCACAAACTTCCCTGGCATGGGTCCTTTCTGCAGGCTGCAGTCCTTCAGGTGCAGACTGCTCCAGCGCGGGCTTTCCTATGGAGTCACAGTGGGCATCTGCTCCCCTCCATGGGCTGGGGGGGGACAGCCTGCTGTCTCACCATGGGCTGTAGGGGTATCCCCTCCTCCTTCACTGACCTTGGTGTCTGCAGAGGGGTTCCTCTCACATATTCTCACTCCTCTCTCCCAGCTGCTGTTGCAGTGTTTTCCCCTTCTTAAATCTGTTCTCCCAGAGGCGCTGCCACCGTCACTGATGGGCTCGGCCTGGGCCAGAGGCAGGTGCCACTTGGAGCCAGGGAAGCTTCCAGCAGCTTCTCACAGGAGCCACCCCTGTAGCCCCTCCCCCGCTACCAAAACCTCACCACACAAACCCAAAACAAGTAGCGATACCAGAGCTATCCTTTAATCAGAACATCTAGTGAAGGCAGTGGTTGGGGAAGGGGATCAGTTACTTAATGATCAGGATATATTGAAATGTGCAGTTGGCTTCTGGTGTTCCTGGTTAACTTTGAACAATGTACATTCTTCTCCCTGGCCCTGTCCACATTTTACACAGTAGGTCAGAAAACGAAGAAAGTAAGAAAGTACTTAGAAAAGTACTAAGAAAGTACTAGGAAAGTTTTAGTTTTCCAAAAATAAAATGCTAGGTCAAATTTTGCGTCTGTCTAGAGCTTTGATACATGTAAACTCACCTTTCCTCCCACCTGGACCTTTTAAGTAAAACCAAAGTATTCAAACCAGTGATATGGAAGTGGCAGAAAGTCTAATCAGGTCAGATGGACTCTGAACTCCAGTTCTAGACTCTGGTTTTGAAAAGTTGGGGCCTTTGATAGTATAACACCCATCTGTGATCTGTAAAGAAAATTGTGGCTTCTCTTCCTCAGGTTCTGCCTTGTGGTAGTTTCTTGGTTGCTTGGCAGGGGGTGTTTGTGATGGATGGTAGAATTAAGGCGCAAAGGAATTGAGGAAAAAAATCTTATGTCCTATGAAAACTACGCATACTTTTTAGGCAGTGCCTTTTAAACACAAGCATATCTTTCATTTTTGAAGACAGAACAAGCATCTTCTGAAGCGAAGCAAATTAAACAAATTGAGCAAACCTCCACAGAACAGTTTTACTTGATCGCACAGATGTGATGCTGAATTCTTTCCTTATCCCTAGGGTTATTGGACATAATTTTGTAAGCTTTAGCAGTGGTAGGAAGGCAATAAGCCACTTGGATTTCCACACAGTAAAGGGTGTTTCTCTATATAAAATATTTTTGTAGGACTGTATTTTTAACAGGTTGTTTCCCTAAGTACAATATTCTATAAAAAATATTTTTGCTTTAAAATAAATCTTGGTTAACGGCAGGCAAGAGGTGTTTCTTCCATCTTCTGTGTGTCCTACCTGTATGTTTTAAATTTTTCACAAAGATATTTCTGATGATGATTTTTACACCTTTCTGAAGATAGAGCTGTAGGTTGGGATTATTCTTTGCTGTTTTGTGGCTTGTGTAGTTCAGTAATAAACATGCTGATGATACTGTTAATTTCACACTGTTTTTGTTAAAGTTACAAGCAATTCCAATTATATTACAGTTGGCCAGAGAAGAAATATTATCTGAGTTTTATTTGCAAGCACACCTATGCAACTGGAGTTGGAAAATTAGCTCCTTAAAAATTAAACAACTTCATCCACAGAAACTGAGCTTTTTTATCTCTGAGCTTGTTGCATGTTACTTATATTGCTAGGATTTCTTCTCAAAACCTGTGTTGAAGCATACTTAGGTGAACATGAATGCTCGGTATTTTATTTTGCATTTTATGTATGAGCGTTTAGTGTTTGTGCCTGTCTTTTGTGTTCCTTGGGTTTGTTCATTTTCACGCTGAATCTTTCTTGGAGATGCAATTAAACTGAAATACTGCTGCTCTGGAGACTTGAATGCTCTTGAGATTAATCCTTTTTGTAGTCTGAGTCCAAAATTAAGAGTATGTATATTTTTGTATTACAAAATTTTAGATTATAATCTTTTAAACAAGATTGCTGTCATTTACTGTGTGCGTACGAAGCACCTAGCACAGGGATGTTCTAACTTTAAGTACGTAGCTCTCACAGTGTGAGCAGTAACTTATTAAAATATAAGGGGAGTTTGGATTAAACATGGGGAGAATTTGTAAGGGTAGCTGACAGTTTCTGAAACTCCATTGCTGGCAATATTTTTCAAAGCACTTGTTAGCCACCTGCCCTCCAGGGTTCTGTGTGAGTGATGCTGCGTAGGTTGGAATACGAACTGGAAAATCTTCCCTTTATCTTTTGCACTTTGTTGTTAATCCCGTGCAGTGCAAAAATTTCAGTTTACAAGAATATTTATGCATGTGTGCAGCTACTTATAGTTTGGCTTTCTTCCAGTTTCCATACAATCAATCCTTCTGTTCCTGTGGCACTATATCATTTAATTGGTTTTGGTCTTGATTCCCATTAATGAGAACTTTGGTTCTTTAATTTTCCCTGAAGACAATATTTTCCTAGCAAGCAAATTCACATTAGTAGTACTTGCTGCTATGAAATGTCAACACCTTGCATACCTCTCTTAATTATTACAGGTCTTGAATAATGCAGGGTTTTTGTAGTAAGAATAGGTTACCTAGTGCAACAAATTGTACTTCATGAGAGGTTTGTGTGGTAACACAATGTGTGTTCTTTAAATTGAAAGTATGGTGAATTTACATACTTCTCTCTTTTGGGGAGTGGGGGAAGCATCATTTTTCCAGTATCTGAGAGGGTTTAGGGACGATACTTACTGCGATTTTTTGAACATTCCATTTTTTTAGTTGCAGAACCAGCAAACAAAGCATGACATTTTTAAAGAGCCATACCAAAACAGTTATACCAGTTTATTTGTTAAAAATACTTCTGTTCAGCACCCATTACAGCTGAGACATTACAGTAAAATATT